TGCGTTGTGTTTCCTTTGCATTGAAATGAATTGGGTGGAATAACCTAATGACAATGTAATTTATGCAATTTACATTATCTACATAATTAATTATGCAAGTCATGTAAATTTACCATAGCGGACAGTGAGAGGGATAATGTTGTTTTTGGAAGAAGACAAACTGTAGTGGAATGGAGACAGTGATGCATGCAATGAATATAGGGCAGAACAAAAAACAATGCCTCTCCAGTCTGAGCTGACAGTGACTGACCAGGAAAGGGACTTGCGGGTTGTAGTGGAAAGCTTAGTGATATTAATTATTAATTGATAAATTATTATTATTATTATTATTATTATTATTATTATTATTATTATATTTCTACCCCACCCATCTGGCTGGGTCTCCCCAGCCACTCTGGGTGGCTTCCAACAAAAGATTAAAAATACATTAAAACATCAGTCATTAAAAACTTCCCTAAACAGGGCTGCCTTCAGATGTCTTCTAAATGTCATATACCAGTAGTTGTTCATTTCTTTGACATCTGACCCAATGTGCAGCTTTTGGGGAAAAGGCATATTCCATGTTGGAGATCATTAGGAAAGGGAACAGAAGTAGAACTGTCCATATAAAATAAATTGCCTTTATACAAATCTATGGTGAAATCTGTTCCGAGAAGGGCCTACAAGGTTTGGGCAGGCTTGTGTGCTAGAAGCTGCTGCTTCGGATACTTACGGTAGATCTCAAGCTGTAACACAAACATGGGTTCATATTGCACCACCACTCCAAATAGGAAGAAGATATCTGCTTCCCTGGATAGCATCACACTATTTCTCTTTCTCAAATTAAGCAGTAACATTTCCACACACCATCCTCATCGCCTTCTGCCTTGCTGCTTCAGCATTATATCCTGAAGCAAAGAACTGTCCAGAGTTTCTTGTGTGCAGAAGGACAGATGAAGTTGCTAATGTGTTTAGCACCCCAGAACTATCAGCCAGACAGCTAGCAATCTTGAGACTAAAACACACAGTCTAATCCAACTCTAGCCCCATTGCCTTTTTTGCCTGATGAGGGATGCCTAAAGAAGAGACTGTCTTTCAAACTCTTTCAAAATGGAAGGAACCAAGCCATACTTACCAGCGATGAGGTGTTGGAGGTTTTTGCACAATCACACTTCCTGCCTGACCCTGAACATGGGCTCTATGCATAAGTGTGTTCACACAAGCCAGGAAAAATGAACATTAATGCTAAATCAGTCACACCTCCAATGAGTACTGAGGCTGAACTGTTCATCCTCAATCTCATCCTTTGCCATTCTTCAATACAAAATAGGGAAACCATGTAGAAGGAGAATCTAGTTTTATGTGCATAACACACCCTTCCATTTGTACAAATAAGGATGGGGAGGCAGATTTTGCATTGTAATGTGAACTGGCCTAATTCACACTCCCTGAAACAAGACACAAACCAAAACACATCTATTCTCTGAAATTTGCACTTCTCTAAATTTTGAATGCAGTTCTCCAACCAAAACCTGTACAAACATAGATTAGGAGAAAGCATGCAGAGAAGATAACAAGAATTCAGTGGGGCTTAATTCTAAGTAAATGCAGTTAACAATGGTAGTGTAAGTTCTCTTTAACTCAAGGTAATTTACTTTGTTGAAGCCATCATTTGTTTAATAAACCCTGTGTTGTCCCAGAGACAACCAAATGAACCATGGTTCATTTGTCTAAAGTTTTGCTTATTTTCCACCTGCCCTTGGTTTAGTGCCGTGTGTGAGCTTGCCCACTGTGAATACTCCTGAGTTTACCCACTGCTCATCACTGCTGAATGTATAGTATAAATTGGCCTTGAACCCACTGGCTTCGTGGTGACCATTCTCCTTGGCCAGTGTGCCCCATGTTTAGCCTAAAGTATTAATGCCAATGCCCTGGTTAGCATGAAATGATAAGCCAAACTGTGGCTTACCAGGACCATGCAAATATGCTGGAGAGGAGCTCACAGTTATTTTGCTCCTCCTGGGTCCTTTTTACTGCCACGCTGTGCTGAGCTAAGCTAAGGTTTGGATTAGTATGTCATCCAAACTGAGACTTATGGTTAAGTCCATACATTGGCTTAGCTCAGCACTGTGTGGGAGCAAAAAAGAATTGGGGAAGAGCAATGCGGCTCCATAATTTGGCTCATTGTGCCTTGCGAAGCAGCCCCTTCCTGCAGTACACATGCACAGCATTGTGCAAATCTTAAATATCTCCACATACTACATCATTCTGCATATTAGTTAACTGTAAACAAGTCATTATTAGTTCCACACAACAAAGTGTCCTTGAGTAAAATAATTTGGATCTTTTACTCCATAAAAAGGGTGTCCTGCTTCTCTCTCTCCCCTTTTGCTTTGATTGTTCGGGGTTTTGTGTTTTGTTGTTTTTGCTGCAACAGACTCACAAGGTCATGCTTCTGGAACTTCTTATCCTTCTTCCACCTTTTGTTTCAAGAGTAAGGCCTGAAAATTAGTAATCAAGGAATACAGCAAAAATTGATAAGAGCATTAAAGCTCTGGCCAAACAAACACAGTTGGGCGATTATGGTTTTGCTAGCTGACGATTACGTACTCCGATTTCTGGTTTGCAAACCAGGCAGACGGACCATCAAGGCAATTGCCTTGAAGAGCTTAGCCGCCTCAAAGTTGCAATCTCCTTTCTTAGGCTATCCATCACCTCCCTCCACCAGCCCTCCGGCAGATTGACGCCCTGGAAGAACCTACTGGCTGTTTGTTTTCAGAAGCGTGTTAGGGTGCTTTTAATATAGTGAGTGACCAAGATGACTAATCCTCCCTTTTTAATTGATTCGACCCAAACCTCATCTGTCCTTGGGCTATGGGGATGGGGGAAGAGCCGGACCCACACTCTATATAGATTAGCACCCTTTAGTTAACAGATCAGTCGGGTTTGCCTCCCTGCCTCCCTGCCAGCCTTTTCCCCTCCAGCAATGCATAGAAATAACACTAATCTCATTAAAGCACAGAAAGGAAGCCTTCAGAGTTTATTAATAATGGGAATGGACAAGAGAGAAAGCGGCGTTTAAGTGTCTTTCTTTTCTCCAACTGCTTCAGATCTGAAGGCTGAGAGAAGGAACAGAGAGTTGTCAAGGGGCTTGGATTTGCTGGAAAAATCTAGGGTGGGTGGAGAGGAGAAAGGGATTGATTTTAACTTGCCTCTTTTGAAAGATCAGATGAAAGAAACACGGACCAGGAGACAAATCCAAATGCCAAATCCTTTAAGTGTAGAATGTCAAGTTTTGTTTTGTTTTGAAATTAGGAAAAGTACAAAAGCAACAAATATGGAACAATCTACTGTTGTTGATTTCGCATTTAAATAACCTTAATCACAATTAGGGATGGGTGAATCAGTCAATTTAAGTTTTCTCATTTTTCTAATATTAAGTTCTCCACATTTCAACATCAGTTTGCATTTAGAAAAAGCATTCTCATGAAAATTCAACAGCTCTTTAGCATGAATTTATCCTAATATAAATATTTCTGTGTTCATTTTTGCCTATTATACACATTTCTGCAAAGTAATTCCTCCTAAAGGGACGTGGGTGGTGCTGCGGTCTAAACTTGCCAATCAGTAGGTCAGTGGTTTGAATCCCCGTGACGGGGTGAGCGCCCGTTGCTCAGTCCCTGCTCCTGCCAACCTAGCAGTTCGAAAACATGTCAAAGTGCAAGTAGATAAATAGGTACCACTCCAGTGGGAAGGTAAATGGCGTTTCCGTGCACTGCTCTGGTTCACCAGAAGCGGCTTAGTCATGCTGGCCACATGACCCGGAAACCGTTTGTGGACGAATGTCAGCTCCCTTGGCCAGTAAAGCGAGATGAGTGCCACAACCCCAGAGTCGTCTGTGACTGGACTTAACGGTCAGGGGTTGCTTTACCTTTAATCATATTACAGTTTATGCATACTTTACCCTAGTGTATATACATTGTGTAGACATAATTTGGCGGGAGAAAAGCATTGCAAAATTCGGAGAAGTGTGAATTTGGAAGGATGGCTGTGTTTGAAGTATGAACAAGTATGAAATAGGTAGGTTCACCTTTAAATGCAAACTGAGCTGAGTTCTCCTCCTATCCATAATCACAATGCATTTCTTACTTAAAAGATAAATAAGATATGGTGCTGTCAAGGCTGCCTCAAGTCTCAGCTCACAAAAGACCAACGCCTATGTCTTCTTATATACAAAGGTGTTTATTGCAGTTCATGGTTTGCTTGACATCCTAGGCGCGCGCAAGTCTCTTACGCTTAGACCGCTGAAGTCCCCTCTGAATCCCTCCCTCCCCCGCACCCCTTCAAGAGGCGTGCGCTGCTCCCCCTCCTTCTCTCCTCCCATTTCCGCAGGGTCCTACGGCCCGCTGCGGTTACGCCCCGCCGGGAGACCTCTGACGCGGCATCAGACTGCCCTCCCCCCCCCCTGCGGGCTTTGGGCCCTGGCCCCTCCGCCGGGCTCCCTTTTCTTCCGCGCGCCTCAACATTTGAACTCGGCGCGCGCGCCAAACCTCTAACTTTCCTTTTGACAGTTACACTACTCCCTTCACTGCTCCCTCCTTCCGGGAGGGCGGCTTGCTCTGACTTCCTCCTTTCTCTGCTGCCGGAGCTGCTTCCTCTGACACACTGGAAACTCCAACCCCTTCGCTGCACTCTGGTGGGGAGGCTGGTCCTGACGCCCAGCTGCCACTTTGGGATCCTCCGCTGGCCCCCTGCTCCTGACACGTCCCCCCTGGGGCTCCCCTGGCCTTGACCACCGGCGCCCCCTTCTGGGAATCCTCTGATTCGCTGGAAAGACTCATGGAATCTCTTGAGTCATTGTCATCCTCTTCCTCGCTGGCTTGGATTTCATCCCCATCGCTCTCCATCTCCTGCCTACCCTGTCCCTCTCTCCCTGAACCCCTGACAGGTGCCTTGTGACCTTTCTTTGATTCTTCAGCCCACCATTTCTTCTTAATGCAATGTAACACTAGGTTTGGGAAAGGACTGAAGCTCAGCAGTGGAGCATCTGCTTTGCATACAGAAGGGCCCCCAGGTTCAGTTCCTGGTAGCTCCAGGTAGGGATGAGAGAGACCCTACCTGAAACTCTGGAGAGCCACTTCCAATCTGTTTAGACAATACTGACTTGGTCTAAGGCAGTTTCCTCTGTTCCACTTATTTCAGGCTCCTCTGCGTTTCTCAATAACCCAGTTAATTAAATGTTTTCTAACCATTTCAGTAACTTCCTAACTAGTTCTGTTTTACTAGATCTAGAAGTCTGTCCATGTATATATAAAGCTTGTTTTTGAAAACTTACAGGAATATAATATTTCACATCATCCATTAAGACAGCAGTCCTATGCACATTTACTTAAGTCTCAATGAACCCCCTGGGACTTGGGTAAACCTAAGTAGGATTTCACTGTAAACGTATCAAATAATTCAAAAATATGTCGGTCTGAAAAACCCCACAATTGATTGCATTCATTATAAAAGATCCAAATTCTACAGCTTTCTCGCATTTCTGCTTTTGATAGATGTCACCCTTCATTCCTTTACAAATCCAATATCTGTCTTCCCCCTGCCTGCCTTTCTAAGGGTCAAACCAGATTATTTTTATTCATTTTATTTTTATTAATTTCTATACTTCAAACTCATATTAAAAATCCATAAACAACATCTCAAGCTCAACCAAAACATCAAAACAAATAAAACCAAAACAACATACATTAAAGAAACAGAGGCACAAGATGAGTCACCTGACAAAGAAGATTATAAAAATAAAACGATACGTTCACTATGCATCTGTGCCCTTGGATGCACAGCAGGTCTTTTTTGCTTTACGCAAGTTGCCAGGGTGGGAGTAGGGAGGCCTTAATCCTTTGCTCCCTACTATGACCCTGATCCTGATTCAGGGGGCAAGGATTCCCATGGTGGGGGGGGGATGGTCTCCCCCTCCAATGTACATTGTAGGCACAAGGGGAGTGTTAGCTAGAGTGGAACCACAGCTGGGGCCAACATTAAAAGCCCTCCGATTTCCTCACCCTACTGGTTCCCAATATAATTTGGGCCCCTGTGCTGGCAAATCGTGGGGTGGGGGGACTCCTGCCCTTAGAGGGACAACTATATAGCTAACGTATTGCCTACCATGAGTCTTGAGGACTTTCTGCATTTATCATTTATACCAATATAGCAGCTGTTTGGGGGGATTTTCCTCCCCCCACCCGTTGCCTTACATTGGCATTATTCCACTAGTGTTCCAGAATAATGTACTTAGAACCCTGTTTTTTGTTCTACTGCAAAAAAAGAGAAACCCTGTTTTTTGTTCTACTGCAAAAAAAGAGAAAAAGGTGAAAGATCTGCACTGGATCCTTAATATTTTCGTTTGTGTGCAACCCAGGTTTCTGTGTGGAGGAGGTGGGGACTGATGAGCCTTGTTTGGGAGATGTCTGTTTCGTGCCACTTCCTTCTGACCAGTGGCTAGAGGAGAGATGTGGCAAATAGAGACAATGGTTCTGAGTCACAGCGCTGCCCGTGACAGCAGTCACGAGCTGCAGACAAAAATTCACCACAATAACCAAGCAGACAGGTAGTTTCTCTTTTAATCCCCTATCTCCACGCAGGATTAGAATTCAGGAATACTAGGCATTAAATCATATTTAAAAACAAACAAACAGCAAAAGTGGTATCCCTGTGTGTATGCTCATAACACTGACATTTACTGGCTGGAGGAACATGAGGATATGTAACAGCTGTGACTATAGCCATAAGACTATTCTTGATTTGGGGCCAGCCCACCATTAGTGTGGAAAGAAAAACCCCACAGTCGCTCTCTAATAACAGGGATATATGACCAAAGGTGCAGACAATCAGCTACCAACACATTCTCAAAAAAGTTGAATCAAACAGCAGTTATGCCACTATAAATGGTAAATGTGGAAAGGCCCTTAGACATCCTCTAGGCTGTCAAATGCCACTGCCTGGCCATCTTAATTCAATTTCCCTTATAATTAATTGCAACAGAAAGATGATCCAAGACCAAACCTCCTCAGGCATATCATACTTAATGTCTCTATCCCACTTTACCATATACAAATTTATTTCCTGAATTTGATAACATTTCATAAATCTTAGGAAACGTTCTCTCCCCTTCCTCCCACTGCTTGCTAGTAGCTGTTTTTCAAACTTACCTTTCCCTGCTGAGTTATATTATGGGTCTGCCCTCTCACCGCAAAAAAACTCCTTACCTATAGATACTAGAATATAAGGTGGTGTAGTTTGCATTTTTTTCAACACTTGCTCATGTGACTGGATACAAGCTTTTAAAAATGAAGCGTCTAGTCCTTATGATTACAGACACAAATCAGAAAAGTGGAGAGGAGCATGGCAGTGGAGAACAGACTGCACCTTTTATTTGCCAAACTGGAATGGACAGGGGGCAGCTGCTATGGTCAGCATAAAATTGGAAAATTGCAGAAAGGAATTCCATTTTTTAACTGAAAGGGGGTGGGGAATAAGGAGTGGGTCTTAAGGTAAGCCATGCATTCTAATTTTGAAATTGATCAAGGAACAAATAAAGGGAACTGGCGTTTGTTAACACTTTTATCATTCGGCTCCCGATCAATGTATTCAAAGAGCTGTGGAAGTTACCGCATGAAACGTAAGCGAGAAGCGTTTTATGATGGATCATTCCAATTTCCTGTTGGTTTCCTGCGGGCTTCACAACTCCGGGAAGCCTGTTTTTCAAAAATATATTCTGCATAAAACGCTGGGTGCTGAGCTGTATTTTAAAGAGAGGATCCTTGATTTATTGGCTGGCTTCAAAGTGGGCAAGATGATACAAATCCTTCAGCTATGTGATTCATGGCTCTTCCACATGCTATCCCTCCCCCCTTTCGAATGAGGCTTGTAAAAGTGAATCCTTTCGCTATTCTGTCATTCCACTAGGAACTTTGCCTGCAGAGTACCAAAGAGAGGAAGGACTGGAGCTGTGTCAGGTGAAAAGTGAAAGTGGCGATCCAGGATTTAAGGTGCTTTTAGTCATGGATAATCTAGCAGCACCCCATCATTGCTGTTCTGTTTTAAGCGGGAAGTGGAACAGCAACTCTGCTTCCAAATTTATGGAATCCAAATAACAACCTGGAGCCAACTGGGCAGTCCCTCTTTCCCAGCCCAGCCGGTGTGGTGTAGTGGTTACGAGCGGTGGAGTTGTAATCTGGTGTACCAGGTTCGCTTCCCTGCTCCTCCACATGCAGCTGCTGGGTGACCTTGGGCCAGTCACACTTCTCTGAAGTCTCTCAGCCCCACTCACCTCACAGAGTGTTTGTTGTGGGGGAGGAAGGGAAAGGAGATTGTTAGCCACTTTGAGACTCCTTAGGGTAGTGATAAAGCGGGATATCAAATCCAAACTCCTCTTCTTCTTCTTCAAATGTTGAAAGGTGGGATTGCCGTTTGGATCTCTCTATGTGTGCATGCGGGAGGCAGGATTAAAAACTACCCCATCCTCCGCACTCCTGATCCCAATTGCTCCTGCTGCAATTTGGGGGAGGGGCAAAGTGGGAGAGGGGGAAAGAGAAACAGATACGGGGTGGTCTTCAGCTGCATTTTACTCAGAATCAAAACAGACCCATTGAAACCAATGAGCACAACTAAGTCAGGTCCATACTATGAGATCCATGGTTTAGCACCACTGTCACAATGGCTTTCACATTTGGCTTTTGCAGAGAAACGCCAAGTTTGGAGATAGGCTGTCACAGAATGAAAGCCAGCTTCCTGTTAACTTGGGCTGTCTTCTACACATTCACTGTATCTTTCTTCCTTTTGGGACTTGGGCGTTAATGGGTATGGAGAGTTCCCACAACACCCTTCTTGCAGCTGCAAATGCGCTTCTATTTTTAGTGGCAGGCGTTGTCTGGGGGGAGGAGGAGAAGGAGCATTTGACACTATACATCCATCGCAGGCCTCAAGGATGATGGTGAGTTTATGGTGTGACATTAGGAAGGCCCCCTTGTGGCACCAGATCTATAATGGTTGCTCAGATGTTCACCCAAGTCTATTAATAATGTGTCCATTTTGTGCTACCAGTATGTTGCACCCAATTTTTTCATATAAAAAAATAGTATTATTTGTTTGTTTTAAAAAGCAACAACAAAAAACACTGAATTGTGGACACTGTTCCTAAAAGCTCAATGGTCAGTTGTAAAATAATTACATGTTGTAATTAAAATACATCAAAACAGTGCTTCAAGCAAAAAGTCATCCATTTAAAAACTAGGGCTAAGGAAAAACTGGTTCAACCCGCCAAACTAGAAATGCTTTGAAAACAAAACAGAAAAGATTATATTTTCTGATGAAATGAACAAGACAAGAGGAGGGTTTTTTGTTTTTTAGTAAACAACAACAGCAACAACTCCTCAGAGAAGAAGAAGAGTTTGGATTTGATATCCCGCTTTATCACTACCTGAAGGAGTCTCAAAGCGGCTAACATTCTGCTTTCCCTTCCTCCCCCACAACAAACACTCTGTGAGGTGAGTGGGGCTGAGAGACTTCAGAGAAGTGTGACTGGCCCAAGGTCACCCAGCAGCTGCATGTGGAGGAGCGGAGACGCGAACCCGGTTCACCAGATTACGAGTCCACCACTCTTAACTACTACACCACACTAGCATGTCAAGTATTGGGACATCTTCATTTATGCCTAGCCATGAACTTTAGAGCTCTCTTTTAACCACTGACCTGCACATCTTGTACCTGATTTATGTTCCAGCATTGTAGTGAATTCTGGAATAAAGCTTTTGGAAATAATCGTGCCAAGAGAGTCTGAGCACCATGCCCATGTGTGAAAGCTAGGGTGGTTTTGGACTATAAATGCCATCAAGCAAGCTGCCTGGGGCTGATTCTAGTTGTAGTCCAAAACACCTGGAGAGAACCCAGCTTGACAAAGGCTGCTCTAGATGAATATTCTTCTACCTTTTTTGGCATGAGGCTCATCTATAACCCAAACATACATTTGGGGACCCATATATTACTTTTTTAACCATATATTTATATGATAGTAGTGCCACTGCTGCAGCTCATTTTAGATGAGACTGTGACCCAGTGATGGGTCCCGACCTACCAGTTGAAGAACCAATGTTCTTGGTCAGATTGTTGATTTCAGTTGATCTGTCCTGGCAATGTGAGCAAAGAACAAAGGATATGGATGTAATTAATTATTTGTAATTGTCTAAAGCCACCCTAATGAGTTCTAGGCAGGGTGTGGGTGTCTGTGTAATACCCACAAAAACTAAAAGGGGACAGGAGAGGCACAAAATGCTGGAATAAGGCAGAGAGAAAAAGTTATCAGAATATTTTATTGTTAGCTGATGTGTTTTGGAAACAATAATTTTTTTCCCTCGGGGCCAATCCTCTTTATTGGTACCCTGCAAAAATATAGTGCTGTAGATTCTTCCTTTGCTAAATGCATCTGTAACACATTCACACACAGAGAGACATTTTTCATACAGCAATGAAAGGGAGAAGCAACAAATTATAAAAATTATAAAAACTGAGAGGGGCTATGCCTATTTGAGAAGGGCAACCTTGAAAGGCAGCCTATAAATACAGTGGTACCTCAGGTTACATATGCTTCAGGTTATATACGCTTCAGGTTGCAGACTCCGCTAACCCAGAAATTGTACCTCGGGTTAAGAACTTTGCTTCAGGATGAGAACAGAAATTGTGCTCCGGCGGCACGGTAGCAGCAGAAGACCCCATTAGATAAAGTGGTGCTTCAGGTTAAGAACAGTTTCAGGTTGAGAACGGACCTCCAGAACGCATTAAGTACTTAACCTGATGTACCACTGTACAGAAAATAAATAACGAAAGGAAGGAAGGAAGGAAGAAAGGAAGGAAGGAAGGAAGGAAGGAAGGAAGGAAAGAAAGAAATAGATAAGGGCCATAAAAATCCATTGAAAAGTCTAAGCAAATAAAAATGTATTAATCTGGTTCCATTTCAGTTTGCATATTATTTTCAGCGGTGTGAATTAGTATTAAAATGTAGACTGCACTGAATCTCTACCCAACCCTGTACTTGGGGAGTGTGTTTCAAAGTAGAGCACCACAAAAAGCCCCATTCTCTAGAGAGATGTAAGACGGGAGCATTTTCCATTTTCCACAAGCATCACTGTTTCCTTTCCACTGCAGTTTGCCTTCTGTCAAAAACTATGTTATTCATCTTACTATCCGCTGGGGCGATCTCACATTTACCTAATTTATGTAATTAATTGTGTGCATTATGTTGCCATGACATTATGCATTTCAGTGCAAAGGAAACACAATGCAAATGAGATGAGGGGGGTGGAATCAATTACGTATTGTTTAGGCATCAATCATATTTGGTGGATTGATTTCAGTTCTGGACATGGAACAAATAAGTAAACACCAGCAATTTCTGCTCCGATTTCTGTTTTTGTCAGGATTCCTTGACATCCATATTCCTCTGTTACATACTCAGAGTACTTCTTCAGCTTTTCCTACCAAGCTGTGGGATACTGCTAAGCAACCTTATGTTATGTAACACCAAATCCACAAACACCTGCCCAACTGAAATTCACATTAGAGCCCTTCTTAAATTAAAAACGCCACCTTGTTTAGCTGAATCTAGGGAAAGTCTGGGAGTAGGGGGTGGGGCAGGGCAGGGCAGAAAGAGGGGAGAGGGAGAAAGGGGCAGCTGAACAGAGAAAGCCACAGAGAGGGAAGGAGGGATGTTATCCCTCCAGGCCTAACCTAATCACTATCTCTCTGCTTTATTACTCTACCTAACACGGCATGCTTTTAAATAAAATATGCAAAGATTTCTCAAATTATTTCCTCAGGGCCTCGCACACTTTCTATCTTCTCTCGTGCATGTTAATCTGAAAAATGTAAATGCCAAAAGAAACACACACAGCAATCTGTGGAGGAATAGCCATTTATTAACTTTTTTTCTTTAGCAATGCTGTTTTTCTCTTTGTTTAAATTGATTTTTAAAAAGCTATTTAAATGAAGAAAGTCCATCTCCATTTCTGAGACTTTCTTTTCTTTTCTTTCTCAGTCTCCTGAAATGTTCCCACACTGTGCTATAAATACAAAGCAGTAAAGGACTTGGATTCGGGGCTGTCTATATGGTGGGGAGGGATCTCTCTGGAGAGTGGGGTGGTCCTCCTTTCCCTGTTCTTCATCTTGAAACCTCCCCACCTAACATGGAGAGGCGATACTTTTAACATTCCTGAGAGCAGAAGCAAGCAAATTCCCATCTAGGAATGGAGGAGAAATTAAATTCAGTACACAATTAAAGCCAAACCTATCAAATCCATACTTTCAGAAACAATATGCAAACCAAAACACATCTTGCTTTGAATTTTGCAATGCAGTTCTCCATCCAAACAATGTTTACCAAAACACACATATTAGGGGAAAGTGTGCATAAAAATGAAGATAAAAAAGTGAAAATAACATACAAAAATGCCTCTAGATGTCAGGCTCAGATACTCTGGTTTTATCCTATATAATAACACACACACGTGTGTATGAGCTCAGCTGGTAGAGCATGAGATTCTTAATCTCAGAATTGTGGGTTCAAGCCCCACATTGGGCAAAAGATTTGTGCATTGCAGAGGGTTGAATTAGATGATCCTCGTTATCCCTTCCAACTATATAGTTCTATGATTTCATTATCAAACTATGTATGGACCCTTATGTAGCCAAAAGAAGCATCACCCATGTGCAAGAAAGTAGGGTAAAAAAATAAACTGTGGGGGGGGGGTGGTGGTAAGGGGAGTTATCCCAAAGCAGCCCAAAGGGGAATGGGCATGTCCATCTGACACAGAATGCTGACTGACTGTTGCGGGGGTGGGGAATGGAATGGAGTATCCTGGAAGGGGCCATAGCAGGTTGGAAACCTGAACAGGCGCACTCCAGACTGCAAAACTTTGTTGCAGGTCCTATTTGGTAAGGAGGTAAATGTTGTCTTAATCATGTCAGATGCTCGAAACAGTGTGTTGAATTATATTTAAACAGCAATTAGTCTGTGATTTATTTCCCTTCCTTTTCTGTCTTTTTAAAAAGTGAGAAAACAAAGCAGGAAGAAAGGGGGAAAACACAAATCCTTCCCAGCATTCTTATCTTCTAAGGATGTTGGTGTTTAGCTAGATCAAGCTTGCCCCACCATCTTCACTGGGCTAGAGAAAACTTCTGCTACTTTTCCTTGTGCCAGGCTGCTAGAAAAATAAATGCTGGCAACCCTGGTTGCATGCACACGCCAAGCATGGAGAGTCAGAAAGGCGCTCATGCCTCATATCTCCAGTCCCTCTAGAGAGGCTTATTGCAGGAACAGGGAACAATTGGCCCTCTAGATTTTGCTGAACTACAGTTCTCATCAGCCCTAGCCTGCATGGCCAATAGCCGGGGGGGGGGGTGCGTGATGGGAGCTGTAGTTCCACAACATCTAGAGGGCCAATTGTTCCCCAACCCCAGTAAAAGCCACGTGTGACCATAGATTCCTGAGAACATCACCTCACTGCTGAGTTGTTTAGCTTTCATCCAGCAGAGGGCAGTGGTGTTTCCACAGAGAGGGCAGGCTTTTCTGAGGGACGCCTCAGCTGTCCAATATGATTTTTGTGAGAGACAGATATTATATATTGTGAGGCTTAAAGGCCTGCGTGGAGGATAGTGGAGCCTGAGGGACGTTGTGTGTGGGAATGCTGAAGAATCCTCCCAGCAGATGCTATGGCTTCCCCTTCAGTTCTGTCCTTAGGGTCCCAACTCTAATGTCATTAAAGGGACGCATTAAACACAACAACAACAACATCACTAAGTCCAACCCTAGTTTTCCATGACAAAAACCTGAACTGACAAGAGTTCAGTGCTTTGAGTCTAATTGGCAGCTTCCTTTCAGAAGGGAGCCGGCAAACAAACTTGCTTGAAGTCTAAATTATATCTTAACATCCCTCACCCCCCCCCACGACCGCTACTCTCTGTCGTCCCCCATCCCTGTGCCTCCGGGTACCCCTTTTTGGGGCTCATAAGGAGGGGAAGGAACTGGGATTATGGAGGGACGGGCCTGGCTTTGGAGCCTGCATGCCTTGGGGAATGTCAACATTCACCTAAGTAATGAGACCAAAAGAAAAAGAAAGGGAGGGGGGGAATGAACATTTAAAAGGAAAAGTGGGGGGAACACTCTTCTATTAGGAAAGCAGATCAAAGTTCTACCTTCAGAAAAATGCTGTCCTGCAGCTATACGGAAACTTAGCAACCACTAATTGTCTTGTAGCAATGCGTTTATTTCTCATCAGTTGGAAAGGGGAGTGTCAGGATGTAATGTGTAACTGCTTTGGAAGCCAAGGTGGGCAAATACCTATTTTGGGAGGCATGGTTGTCCATCTGAGGGGGGATAGGATGAGTGCCCCCGGTCCTGCCCTCTGGGAAGGGGATGCTTTGGGGAGGGGGGCATGCCTGGCATCCGTAGCCATGGTCAGCAGCCTCAGTGTCTGGCTGTCCCTGCTGCCTCCTGCCCCCCTTGTGAGGCTCTCCACTTCTTGCCTTCCTGGAGCAAGGTGGAGAGGAGAGGAGGCAGAGGCGGATGGCCTTGCTGCTGCCACCATTGCTGCTAAAACCACAGCAAAGGGAAGAATTAAAAGCGGGGCAGGGGGAGGATGTCACCGCTAAAACAGCCTCAAAAGAACAAGTAAGCTAGGGGAAGGAGGAAGGGCTGCCACCATCACCATGAGGAACAGGATGTGTAGCAGAGGGGAGATAAAGGCAATGGGGCCTTTATTGTGGAGTTATTTGCCTCAGGCCCCCCATACTCCTAGAGAAATGCAAAGTAAATCTACTTTCAGCTCTCCTGTTAGACCAGCCATTGAAGCCACAGAGGGAAGAGGTACTCCAGCTAGCTGGGTGGGAAGGAAGATGCAAAAACTTAGTCAAAGGAGTCAAAGTTGATGCTGGAAAAAATGCAGCAGGAGGAGAGAAGCGCGCGAAGTAGGCAAGAGGGAAGCCAAAAGTGGGTCAGTAGAAAAGACTAGGATGCAGCTGGTATTGTTTTCAGGTAGTAAATTGAACAAGTGATGTTTTAAAAAAATGTTTTAATGTTATAGGGTTGTATCCAACTAAGTTCTGCTCAGAGTATGTATAATGGACCTAAGCTAGCCATGTTTATTAATTTCAGTTTATTAATTCCATACTTTGAGTTTGACAATATAAGAATGATGATGATGTTTCGTTTATCATCTGAGCCCTGTGTGAACCAGAGGACTTTGTAGATTAGATGGCCAACAAATCTGCTAAAATAAACAAAGGAGCTTGGGAAGCTGTTTATACCAAGTCAGACCATAGGTCCATTTAGTTGAGTATTGTGTACATTGAAGGGCAACAACTTTATTTCATACTGGCGTCTCTCCCAGCCCTACCTGGAGATGCTGGGGACTGAACCTGGGACTCGATGCATGTGATGCAAACACTCTACTTAGCTACAGCCCTTCCTCAGACAATTCAGCCCTGTTATACTGAGTCATACCTAGCTCAGTGTTGTCTACATGGACTGGCAATGATTCTCCAAGATTTCATTCTGGGATCTCTCTCAGCCTTACCTGGAGATGCCCAGGTCTGAAACTGAGACTTTCTGCATGCAAAGGAGATGTTCTGCCTCTGAGATGCTATGGTGGTGACATGACCCTCCTCAGGAGGGCAAGTCGCTGTATTTGATTAAGGGGTGCCAACTGGCTGTTCTGAAGCAGGCACTCCCATTTCCTACTAAGAACACTTTGGTTGTTGTTTTTTGAGATTGTATCTGTGTGCCGGCTAATTTGTTTTAGAATCAAAATGGTAACAGGAATGTGAAGTGTTGTTCTTACTTTTCAGGGCCTGGAGATCTCATTTAAGATAGAAACTGGTTCACTTTGCTGTGCCACAAGTATTTCCCTGGGCCTTGCTTCTTCAATGCCCCTTTGCAGCCCTGGACTGAAAGTTTGTAAGGGAAAGAAGCCACTACCCAGGAAGGAGAACCCTTTGTGTTAAATATAGCTTTATTAGCATAGCTTCCCCTGGACCTTTGAAAAAACATAAGCTGTGGCGGGTGGTAGACGCGGCTGGGGGAATCACGGGCTTGGATATGGTTGTGATTAGGGGACAACAAAATAATCATGGGAAATTGTTTCATGTGTGTACAGAAATACCTCTGCAGAAAGACATTTGGAAGAAGCTAATCTCATTGTGAAATGCAAAAGAAACTTCTTGTTCAATTCCTCATATACCTTGCTCTGGGTTTCAACTTTCTTCTCTTGCAAAGGGAAAGCAAGAGAAAACATGCATAGTGAATGTGTGAACATGTGCGGGAGCCATGTGTGTTTATGTGCATGCTCTGAGGATGCTATTGGACTTCTCATAAAGTAAAAGAACTGCCAGGCACAGTCAGATCTACTGCTGGCATGGCTCAGTGGCTTAGTCGTGGGAATGGCACTTTCTTCTAACTTCTCCTTATAGGACTGTATGTTAAGATTATCCTTTCCGTCTATAGTCATGGAACAGAGGGCTGTAAGAAATATCAGAAGTGGCAGGACCCAATGTAGGACTGATGTGTGTCCTAGGCTCCCTTTTCTCTTTCTCTCTAAACGGCACCTGGCTGCTGGGGCTACCCACCATTATAATTTCCCACAATACCCCTGATAATCAGAATACCAAAAGAGCTTGTTCAGTTAACCCCAGGGTATGTGAGCCGAGTGACCAAGACACTGTTTCATAGATGAGCAATAAGATAATGCCCATAATACTTAGGTCTGGGATAAATCATAGTTCTGAGAAGGAAAATGCCGGCCAATCACATCCCTCCTGCCATTGCCTTGTAATCGGGACTGCTCATTTGGGTAAGCCCCAGTCTTTCTTATTGCTGCTGCTGCTGTCACCTGAATAATGATGCTGGCCCTTTAAAAAGAGGGGTGGGAAAGAAAAAGGCAGGCTCCTCTTTATTTTATTTTATTTATTTTTTTCTTGTTAAAAGATGTCTGCAAGGGGAACTGCCAGTCTGAAAAATGATCCTTGCTTTTTTCCCATTTTCTTGGTATTTTCCTTCTAGCTTGTGATAATCTGTTCAGGTAAAACCGCAGGCGCATTCATTAAATCTTTGTCTTTGACACCTCAGCTGGTTTGCTGCCCTGGGCTTCTTTTTCTCTTTGCTTTCCTCCTTTTCTCTCTCTCTCTCTCTCTCTCTCTCTCTCTCTCTCTCTCTCTCTCTGGTTCCCCCCCCCCTTTTTTAACTTATCTTTTTCCTGCCTCCTCCCACCCCTCCTTTCTCCCTTTCCCTCTCTAAGCAAGCCTGATCAGCACACATAAAAAGACTGGTGAGGAGAATGGATGAGAATTGTGCAGTTGACACAAGTGGAAACACTGATGGGCTGGATTTCAATATATTTGTATGCAGAATGCGAAAGAGAAGTCTGTCTTGTACTAAGGGTCTGTTTCACTGAGGACCACTATTCTGATTTGCTTCTTCTTTACAGGCCATTACTTATGGCCGTGACACTGTTTCTAAGTGGAAACTCAAGTGTTCCTCTCATCCATTATGTCTGTGATCCGTAAAAATGACCCGCAAACTTGGAAGTAACC